AAATAATTATTTTTAATACAGTGGTGTTCACAGACATTTAAAAAGTGAAATCTATTTGTAACGGGTTTCACTTAGTTTTTAAATACATAAGATCAAAACTTTGTTAAAAATAAATATTTTAAATCAGTAATTCGGTGAGGTTTTGTTGGTTTGTTTTGAGATGGGGTCTTGCTCTGTCACCAGCCTGGAGTGCACTGGCTTGATCTTGGCTCACTATAACCTCCACCTCCCAGGTTTAAGCCATTCTCATGCCTCGCCCTCCTGAGTAACCGGGACAAAAGGTGCTTGCCACCGTGACTGGCTAATTTTTCTATTTTTAGTAGAGATGGGGTTTCACCATAATGGCCACACTAGTCTAACTCCTGACCACATGGTCCACTCCACACATTTCAGCCGCCCAAAGTGCTGAGATTACAGGAGTGAGCCACCACGCTCTGCCAATTTTGTTTCTAAATACCCAGAAGTTCTGTTTTAATCAGATTAAGTTTGGAGAAAGTTAACAAATTTTATCTAATTTTCTGTACAATATATTTATAATTTTCTAGTTTAACCTCATATTAATAAATGATGACTCAACAATTGTTTTCTTTTTCCAAATCTCAGGCCTATTAAATTGATGGAGATGTTTTTAATATAAGAATTTTGTGCAAGGCAGGGTGGCTCACGCCTATGATCCCAACACTTTTGGAGGCAGAGGCATGCGAATAACTTGAAGTCAGGAGTTTGAGACCGGCCTGGCCAACCTGGGAGGCAGAGGTTGCAATGAGCCCAGATTGTGCCATTGCACTCCAGCCTGGGTGACAAGAGTAAAACTCCATCTTAAAAAGAAAAAAAAATGAAGCAAATTCCTTTGATCTATTATTTTTTGATGAGAATGACTGTGATGGAATGACTGCAGCAGTGTGGGCTTAACCCACCCTTTGTTTCATCATTCTTGGGCTATGGTCATAAAACTTGCATGCTTAAAAAAAGAAAAATTTTTGTTAACTCAGTAATTTAGCATGATTTTCACAGCCTCATATTTTCAAAAATGGTTTATTCTTAAGAAAATGTGATAAAATCACCTACCACTTTTCAACAAAAAGAGTAACAAATTGACTCTATAGTCTAGTGTATAGTTAATATAAAAAAATACAGGGCCGGGAGCGGTGCCTCACGCCTCTAATCCCAGCACTTTGGGAAGTTGAGGGGGGTGGATCACAAGGTCAAGAGATCGAGACCATCCTGGTCAACATGGTGTAACCCCGTCTCCACTAAAAATACAAAACATTAGCTGGGCATGGTGGTGCATGCCTGTAATCCCAGCTACTGAGAAAGCTGAGGCAAAAGAATTGCCTGAACCCAGGACGAGGAGATTGCAGTGAGCCAAGATCGTGCCATTGCACTCCAGCCTGGGTAACAAGAGTGAAACTCCGTCTCAAAAAAAAAAAAAAAAAAAAAGGTATGTAACACAGCTTGGGCTATAGGCCAAGAGGTTTCAGAGAAAATAGCTTACAAAATGTGAGAGACCTGGTTTAAACACATTTACCCCAATGCCTTAGGGAGTGTTCTATCCTTCACTGCCAATTCCAACTATTAACATAAAACTGAAGAAACGTCATTATACCACAAAAAACCCCATATTTCTACTTTAGATTCAGGGTCTGCAGGTGCAGATTTGCAGCAGAGGTAAACGGCATGGTGTTGAGGTTTGGATACTTAATAATCCCATTGCCCAAGTACTGTACATCACACCTGAAAGTAATTTTTCAATTCTCGTCTCCCTTTGTTCCACCGTTTAGACATTTTATCTTTTTCGTGTTTATTTTCATCTTTGTTTCCATCTGTACCCAATTTATACCTCCTACATATAAGTTAAAACATGTGCTGTTTGTTTCACTGATCTGTTAATTTGCTTACATCAATGACCTTCTGCTCCACTCATGTTGTGCAAAGGACGTGACTTCATTCTTTCTGTGGCTGCACAGTATTGCATGCTGTAGAAATGCCTCATTTTCCTTATCCAACTTAAGATTTCTAAACACCCTGTTAAATTCTGTCTTTTGCTATTGTGAATTTTGCTACAATAAAATTGCAGGTGTCTTTCTGGCAAAATAATTTATTCTCCTTTGGCGGTGACGGGGCTGACGAGTTACACAACTCTATTTTCACTTCTTTGAGAAATCCCCAAACTGCTTTCCACAGAGGCTAAATTTTATTGCATTCCCATCAACAGTTATAAAAAAAACCCTATTTTCCCAGAATGTCAGCATGTTATTTTGTGACGTATAAAAGACATTCTACCTGGTGTAAAATAATATTACTTTGTCATTTTGATTGACATCTCTCTAATGATTTTGTGTTAAGCATTTCTTGAATGGTTATTGGCAACTCTCATGTCTTTAAGAAGTATCTATATCATTTCTCTGATTTTTAAAATTAATTTTTGCATAGATTCTATGCTGGTGTGCAGTGGCATTATCTTGGATCACTACCACCTCTGTCTTTTAGGTTCAAGCAATTCTCCTGCCTCAGCCTCCCAAGTAGCTGGGATTAAAGGCACGTGCCACCACGCTGGGCTAATTTTTGTATTTTTACTAGAGACAGGGTTTCACCATATTGGCCAGCTGTTCTTGAATTCCTGACATTATGATCTGCCCATCTTGGCCTCCCAGAGTGCTGAGATTACAGGTGTGAGTCACCACTCCTGGCCTGTGAGTACCATTTTTATAAACTAACAACTATCTCAAAATAAATTTAAAAAACAATTTCATCTACCATAACTGTAGTAACTATACTTTGAAATACATTTAACTAAATTTCCATTATTATTAAATATTTGTATTACACAAAATGATTGGCAGGTATAATGCAACCTCAATAAAAATATCAGTTTCATAATTAATAAAAATTTTTAAAAACAGGCCAGGCACGGTAGCTCCCATCTGTAATCCCAGCACATTTGGAGGCAGAGGTGGGCAGATCACAAGGTCAAGAGATTGAGACCATTCTGGCCAACATGGTGAAACCCCATCTCTACTAAAAGTACAATAATTACCTGGTCCTAGAGCTAAGCATTTGACCATGTGTATACACTTCAAAATGTCGTTTTATTAAAAAAAAAATACACATTTATTTTTCAAGTTAGAGAATATACTTTTAAAACCTTATGAAAAGATGACAATATTTAAAATCATGTCTATATCTTTATCATAAACTTGGCTGAAGAGTATAAAAATAATGTTTGTGCTGCTTCTGTCACTTATCAGTCATAACCATAGGAACTTTGATGCTTGACAGCAAGTTTCAAACCCAACACAGTGCATCGGAGGAGCCAATGTACTTTAGTCCTTTATTTGAAGCTTGGAGCACCTGGGGTTTCTGGTGCTAATGGTAATGGAAAGTAAGACACTAAAAAGGCAAGTGTTACTTACGGTCCCATGACTGACCACTCTGTAAACACAGTAAACTAATTTACATGAACAATAACAAAAAACATTTTAATCTAAAAGCTGCCATGATTTTCAAGTTTTCCAGAGAAAATAATTGAGGTTACACTTAGGTGTCTAAGAATAAAACTGTAGGCTAACTTTCATCCACTAAAATAATATTTGTAAAACAAGAGAAATTCCTCAACATTGTGATATCAATATGAAAAAGGAAATATTATTCCAAATATATAGAAGTCATTTTATCGTTTTGCAACCTTTAATATTTGCAATGTAAAAACAGAATATTCTGCCTGGAAATGCAGGTTGTGCTATATCATAAAAAATTAAATTTAAACTAGGCGAGGAGGCTCACACCTGTAATCCCAGCACTTTGGAAGGTCGAGGCAGGAGGATAACCTAAGGTCAGGAGTTCAAGACCAACCTTGCCATCAGAGTGAAATTTCGTCTCTAGAAAAAAAAATGTAAAATGTAGCCAGGCATGATGGAGGGTGCCTGTAATTCCAACTACTCAGGAGACTCATGTGGAAGAATCCCTGGAACCTGGGTGAAGTAGGTTGCACAGATCCCAGATTGTACCACTTGCACTCCAGACCTAGTGCTAGACTTATCTGGACCTAGGGCTAAGCATTTGACCTGGTGACAGAGCAAAACTTCATCTAAAAAGACAAAATAACAATTTCTTATGGTTCACTTACCATAAACTCTTGTAAAACTTTAATTTCTATGATATATTTTCTAGCAAATTTTCTATTTGTCTCACTTTGGGTAAGAATCTAGTGAGTCTTTCTCTATACAAGCAATGAAGCACCATGCTAACAGATTTATCCCTCTCACCTGTGGACAGTGTATGTGCTTATCTTAAATTATCTGAAAGTTATACTTATAAGCACACTCTCCACTTGAAACCAGTTCTTCAGGGCAAAAGAAAACACCAAAGTTCTGATCAAAACCCTCAAAATGCCATGTGAAATGACATAACATAAAAAAAAAAAAAAAAACAGTAAAATAACGGTAGCTATTAACACGGAAAAAGAAGGGTTATGATGTATTCACAGCTGGAATACACATAAAATGACAAATGAAACAAGATAATTAGGAAATAAATACAGCTCAATTTCTTTTTAAATTCAGCAAAATTCAGCTTTGCAGCCCGGGAAAAACTCCTCTCCACATGAAGAATCAAATCTTATTTGTTCACCTTTGATATTTTTCACCTCTAATGTGAAGTTACAAACTAAATTAAACCAGACAAATTTATGCCTTACTATGGAGCATCAGTTACACAGCAAGCACTGCCACATTTATTGTAAAAACATTCTCATGGCTTCTGAAGCTCCCTTAGTACTTACCTAAACAAATTGACCCAATCAATAAGTACATTTATACATGTCCATTATAAAAAGTGAAAAAAATAACTTAGGAAAAGTGGGCTTATATAGGGTTCTCCAAATAAAAGAACAAAATTGAATGTTCCAACTAAATAAAATTTAATACACTAATTTTGGAATTATAGCTAAAATCATTTTGTGTGTATAACTAAATTTTTTTTTCTTTTTCTTTCTTTTTTAGGAAAGAGTCTTTCTCTGTCACCCAGACTGGAGTGCAGTGGTGCAATTTTGGCTCACTGCAAACTCCATCTCCTGGGTTAAAGCTATTCTCCTGCCTTACGCTCCTGAATAGCTGAAATAACAGGTATGCAGTACCACACCTCACTAATTTCTGTATTTTCAGTAGAGATGGGGTTTCACCATTTTGGCCAGGCTGATCTCAAAATCCTGACCTTATTTGATATGTCCACCTTGGCCTCCCAAAATGCTGGGATTACAGGTATGAGCCACTGTGTCTGGCCCATGACTAAATTTCACTAAAATCATTTTTATAATCACAGAACAGCTCACAAACTTAGTACTTTGTAAACTACAAAATAAAATATATATAATAAACAAGAAAGTCATGGGTCTACCATAAGTATCAGGCAAGTAAAAACAGATAATTTGTATGAGAAGATTCTGAACCATAAGCCATAATATATTACAGTAATAAATTCAATGCAAACTAGAAAATATAGATTTGCAGCTTTGTGTGGCAGTATCATAGTCAATGAGTTTTATCCGAGGCGCGATTAATGGAATTGAAAACTTTTTCCAAAACCCCACTAGGACGAGGTAAAATTTAGCCAGCACTCGCAATTTTTGGCCATCGCTATGGGGACTGAATTATTTTTAAAAAAAGAAAAGAAAGAAAGTAAAGATTTGCATTCAGCATTTTTGAGTATTTTTGTTTTCTAAAAAATCAGACATCTGGCTGGGTTTGGTGACTCACATCTGTAATCCCAGCACTTTGGGAGGCAAAAGTGGGTGGACTCACTTTAGGTCAGGAGTTCAAGACTAGCCTGATCAATATGGTGAAACACCATCTGTACAAAAAATACAGAAATTAGCTAGGTGTGGTGGCCTACACCTGTAGTCTCAGCTGCTGGAGAGCCTGAGAATGGAGAATTGCTCGAATCTGGGAGGTGGAGGTTGTTGCCAGCTGACATCATGCCACTGCACTCCAGCCTGGGCAACAGAGCAAGACTCTGTCTCAAAATAAATAAATAAATAGGAAAGAAAGAAACAGAAAATTAGACCTTATTAAGATTATTTGTTTTCGAAAGCGAGAACCAAGCCGGCACCTCTTGCAATGGAGACGGTCATTTCTTCAGATAGCTCCCCAGCTGTGGAAAATGAGCATCCTCAAGAGACCCCAGAATCCAACAATAGCGTGTATACTTCCTTCATGAAGTCTCATCGCTGCTATGACCTGATTCCCACAAGCTCCAAATTGGTTGTATTTGGTACATTCCTGCAGGTGAAGAAAGCTTTCTTTGCTTGGTGACTAACGGTGTACGAGCTGCCCCTTTATGGGATAGTAAGAAGCAAAGTTTTGTGGGTCTGCTGACCATCACTGATTTCATCAATATTCTGCACCGCTACTATAAATCAGCCTTGGTACAGATCTATGAGCTAGAAGAACACAAGATAAAAACTTGGAGAGAGGTGTACCTCCAGGACTCCTTTAAACCGCTTGTCTGCATTTCTCCTAATGCCAGCTTGCTTGATGCTGTCTCTTCATTAATTCGGAACAAGATCCACAGGCTGCCAGTTATTGACCCAGAATCGGGCAATACTTTGCACATCCTCACCCACAAACGCATTCTGAAGTTCCTCAAATTGTTTATCACTGAATTTCCCAAGCCAGAGTTCATGTCCAAGTCTCTGGAAGAGCTACAGATTGGCACCTATGCCAATATTGCTATGGTTCGCACTACTACCCCCGTCTATGTGGCTCTGGGCATTTTTGTACAGCATCGAGTCTCAGCTCTGCCAGTGGTGGATGAGAAGGGGCGTGTGGTGGACATCTACTCCAAGTTTGATGTGACCAATCTGGCAGCAGAAAAGACCTACAACAACCTAGACGTGTCTGTGACTGAAGCCCTGCAACATCGATCACACTACTTTGAGGGTGTTCTCAAGTGCCACCTGCATGAGACTCTGGAGACCATCATCAACAGGCTAGAGGAAGCAGAGGTTCACCGACTTGTAGTGGTGGATGAAAATGATGTGGTCAAGGGAATTGTATCACGGTCTGACATCCTGCAGGCCCTGGTGCTCACAGGTGGAGAGAAGAATCCCTGAGCTGGGGAAAGGGTCAGGCAGCACCAAGGCATATGCCCAACTCATTGTCTGCTAGAAGCTCTGTGGGAATCAGATAAAACTTGGGGGAACTGTGACCGTTCCCTGCTCAGGGCCCCCTGCCCTTCTATCTGGGAGCTAGAGAAGGTGTAGGGGGAGGAAAGAGAATGGTTTTATAGCTACCCTTACCCTCACACATACACTTGAAAAAACTTTCAGACTCACCAATTCTAGCCCCTGTCCTCTTAGATATAGCCCCCTTTCTGGGTGAACTGTAGGCTCTGTGTCTCTCAAATTCTGATCTCTAAGAGATCCCCAGACCTCACCTGCCTCTGCCTCTGTCTCGGCCCTGATTCAGCCCGAAGATGATAATAGCACAACAAAATTCTTCATAAAGATATTTTTATTCACCTGTTCCATGCTATATGGAGGAGGCCAAGTCCATTTAGTGACATTTCTTCCCATAATGTCAGTGAGGAGGACTGTGGGGAGGAGGGCCTTTGGGTTCCTGTGCTGTGTGCATATAAAGGGAGATGGGGTTGGGTGAAGTAGGAGGGCAGTGTGGTTAGCAAAGGTTATTGCTTTTTACGGCAAATCTAATTAAATGACAGCAATCTCTTCATGGTAAAAAAAAAAGTATTTGTTTTCTTCCAATATTGATATTTTATTCTGAAAATACTTACAAACTCATCCTCAAACAAAATTAATTCATAATTTGTTCACACCTACAGTTTATATTTAAACTAACAGATGTGTATGTTTAACTCTATGCAAATCAAAACTAAAAGTCGGTGTGTTTGCAAGCATACAGGTCAGGTATTCAAAGAAAAATATATAATAAAATTTGAAAGCTATTTATTCAGGACTCAAGACATCTGTAAATTTTAATTATAACTGTATATAATTTTTACTTTTACAAAAATGATTCTGTAGTCAGTAACATTTTAATTGTACATTTTAAAATAACTAAAACTGTAGAAGTAAATTGGTTGTAATGCAAAAAATAGGTTCTAGTATACTTGTAATTATAAATCTCCAAAAAATTTAAAGTTCCATACAAATAATTTTCCTACCAACCTTAATTTCAGATTATATTATAGACACAGAACACTGCCTTAGTGGAAAGTCTGAAGTGTCAGTGCCTTATACATTTCTAATTCTGATTATTTCAATAGACTTCATCTTACATTAAATATTCTTTTCCTATTTACTCTGTCTGCAAAAAAAATATATATATATATATTTTAGTATGAACACTCTGGAGTTTCTGCAGCTATTAATGTCTTCCTTTCCCATATGTATTACATTTGCAGAATTCTCTGATGCTGAACAAAGTCTGAGCAATTGCTTCAGGGTTTGCCTCTCACACAAAATAAGCACAACAAGGTCTGTTACAAGTAAAGTTTCCACAACTCTCTTTATATTGGTACTGTTTGCCTTTGAAATAAATGCTCTTTAGCACTTTAAAGGTTTATATTTTCTGAAGAATCTTTTGAGAGAATAGCATTTTTAATGCTTTTATTAAGTTTAAGCTCTTTCATGTACAGTAAGATCATGGGCATATATTTACCACTTTATTACTTTCATTAAATTTGTACATTTGTTCTCAAATGTTTTCCTGTGCAATAAGGTCTGAGCATTATTTATAAGTTTTCTGACATTGTTTATACTTGTAGAAGTTTTCTCTAGTATGAAGTACCTTAGCTACAATCACTTGTGATAATCCTTTAAAGGCTTTCTCACATTATTTACATTTCTATGACTTCTCACCAGCACAATTTCTTTGATGTTTGGAAATGTTTGAAGTGTGGTCACAAGCATTGTCACAACTTTTGGGTTTCTAGAGTTTCTCTCCAGTATGAATCATATAATGTCTGTTAAGAAATGAGGACTAGTTAAAGGCTTTGCCACATGCTTCACACTTTTAGGGTTTCTCTTCATTATGAATTATCTTAGGTCTAGTAAGATTTCATGACTGGCTAAAGCCTATGCCATATTCTTCACATCTGTAGAGTTTCTCTCCAGTCCAAATTGTCTTATGTGTAGTAAGCTTTTGAGATTCATCAAAAGCTTATCCACATTCCTCACATTTCTAGGGTTTCTCTCCAGTATGAATTCTCTTATGGTAAGAGTTCAGGAGTGGTTAAAAGCTTTGCCACATTCCTCACATTTGTAGGGTTTCTATCTACTATGAATTATCTTATGTTTAGCAAGGTGGGAAAACTGGTTAAAGGATTTTCCACATTCTTTACGTTGGTAGGGTTTCTCTCCAGTATGAATTCTCTTATGTCTAGTGAGGATTGAGGAGTGGTTAAAAGCTTTGCCACATTCCTCACATTGATAGGGTTTCTCTCCAGTATGCATTTTCTTATGCCTAGTAAGGTCTGTGGAGCACCAAAAAGATTTACCACATTCTTCACATTTGTAGTGTTTCTCTCCAGAACAAATTATCTTATGTCTAGAATGGCTCGAGTACCAGCTAAAAGCTTTGCCACACTCCTCACATTTGTGGGGTTACTCTCCAGTATGAATTCCCTTATATGTAGTGAGGTGTGAGAATCGGGTTTCTCCACATTCTTTATATTTGTAGAGTTTCTCTCCTGTATGATTTCTCTTATGATAAGTAAGGCTTGATGAGTGGTTAAAAGCTTTGCCACATTCCTCACATTTGTAGGGTATGTCTCTAGAATGGATTCTCTTATGAGTAATAAGGGTTGAGGATCACCTAAAAGATTGACCACATTCTTCACATTTGTAGAATTTCTCTGTTATCAATCTTCTTATGTCTATTAAAGCCGGAGTGCCACCAAAAAGATTTGCCACATTCTTTACATTTATAGCCTTTCTTTCAAGGACAAATTATCTTATGTCTAGTAAGCTGTGAGTACCGGATAAAAGCTTTGCCACACTCCTCACATTTGTAGGGTTTATCTTCAGTATGAATTATCTTATGTCTAGCAAGGATTGAAGAGTGGTTAAAAGCTTTGCCACACTCCTCACATTTGTAGGGTTTCTCTCCAGTATGAATTCTCTTATGTCTAGCAAGAATTGAAGAGTGGTTAAAAGCCTTGCCACATTCCTCACATTTGTAGGGTTTCTCTCCAGTATGAATAATCTTATGTCCAGTAAGGGTTGAGGATTGGTTAAAAGCTTTGCCACATTCCTCACATTTGTAGGGTTTCTCTCCAGTATGTATGATCTTATGCCTACTAAGGGTTGAGAAGTGGTTAAAAGCTTTGCCACATTCCTCACATTTGTAGGGTCTCTCTCCAGTACGAATTCTCTTATGTGTAGTACAGCGTAAGAACTGGTTAAAGGTTTGTCCACATTTTCCATATTTGTCGGGTTTCTTTCCAGTATAAATTTTTTTATATGTAGAAAGGATTGAGGCCTCATTATAGGCTTTGCCACATTCTTTAAATGTGTAGGGTTGTTCTCTGGTATAAATTCTTTTATGTTCAGCTAAGTCCGAAAGTGTGCTAAATGATGTTTTACATTCCTTACATTTCAAAGGTTCCGTTCCACTTTGTCTTATCTTACGTCTGTTTAAATTTGAATTTTTATGAAATACTTTCACTAATTTGTTGCACTGAAATAATTGGCTTTGGGCAGTTGTCAAAACCTGGGTAAGTCCATTGTAACATTCTTTGTGCAACTTACACTCATCCGCACTTCGACATTTTCTTAACTGGAAATTTTCATGTCCATATTTTTTATATCTTCTCAGTATCACTTTTTGGAAATGATTTTGTATGCCCTGCTTTGGCCAAAGATCTTGGGCAAAATAAGAAGATGCAACTGAAAGAAATAAAAAACAAAAATAAAAACCAAATTACTCAAACAAATTACTCTGCTTACTCGACTCAGATTAATATACAAGTCTTACCTATAAAATTATACAAATTACATGATAAAATGACATAGCAAAATTTTACAGGCTCCATTTTTTTCAAAGACATTTAAAGGTAATAAAAACATACAGGCCAAATTACATTTGTAAAACATTAAATTGTGTGCAATGCCCCCAGTGAGTTTAATGCAAAGAGGCACATAGAACAAAAGTCTCTTACATTTACCCAACACAGATCTTCCTGCTTCCCAATATGACATAGTGACTTGAAATAAATTGCCAACTGCTGGTTTCTTTGTTAAATGACAAGTAAAATGCTGCCTTATACATTTTTATTTCTGAATGATACAGTATTTTACAGACCCTGGTTGCTGTCTCTCATTAATCAGGTTCTGAAATAGTGGTATTCTTTCAAATGACAATTTGAGTCTGCTGAGACAGAAGGAAAATTCTGTAGCAACAGAAAGACTGTGGTACCACAGACATAAAACGATTCTAAAAAGTGATTATTGGTTATTAAGAAGAAACATCAATGGCTGAGTGTGGTGGTTCACAGCTGTAATCCTAGCACTTTGGGAAGCTGAGGTGGGTGGATCACCTAAGGCCAGATGCTTGCGACCAGTCTGGGTGGCATAGTAAAACCAAGTCTCCACTAAATATACAAAATTAGTTGAGCATGCAGATACATGCCTGTAATGGCAGCTATGTGGGAGGCTGAGACAAGAGAATCACTTGAACCTGAAAGGTACAGCCTGCAGTGAACAAAGATCATGCCACCGCACTGCAGTCTGGTGACAGAGACAAACTCTGTCTCAAAAAGCAACCTTCTGAAACAACTGAATTCTGAAAAAGTATATAGGCACTGCATATTCCAAATTTTGGACACATAAAAGATGCTAAAAGCAGTTTCTTAAAGTAAGGCAATTTGAGAAAATAGCACATAATCAAATATATATACATTATTTTTTTGTGAAAGATATGCACATACACAAAAGCAGAGTCTTGTGGCATTACATAATGATGCAGAAAACATTTCAAATTATTCTCTAATATTTTACAAATAAAAGCACAAAATCAAACATCTGTTAATGAATATACAATTATGTTGGTAAAAACATAATTACCAATATTAAAAACAAATGTCAAGGCAGATGAAAGAAAAAATTTTTTTTTATTCAACTGAAATCTATCTTGTACCAAATTAAAAATAGGCTGGTTGTTTTTATGTAGGTTTTATATAACCCCAAGATACCATTAAAAAAAAATTTGTACAGTTACGGAAAAGGAAATTAAAAATAAGTAAAATCATATCAATAGACACAAAACAAGACAGAGAGTAAAGAAGAAACAAAGATGTAAGAGTCTAATAAAATAATTAAAAACATAACATTGTCTTTCACTTTCAAATAATTATTTAAATACATATATAAAATTAACTTTCAAATTAAGAGACATACTTTCAATACATAAATTTATTAAGAGTTTACAAACCAAGATTTCTTTCTTTCCCACAAAAGACAATTGAGATCAACTGACTTAAAAAAAAAAAAAAAAAACTGAACGTGGCAAGATGGAAGCAGACATTTAATGCAAATATGAATCACTGAGAGCAGAAAAAAATCAAAATAATATTATGTAAAACAATACGCAATATTATATATCTTAAGTCAAAAATTGTTACATTTTTAAAATGTACTCCAAGTCAAAATTCAATGGAAACAAAAAAGAACATTAAAACTTACAAATTTAGAGCCGGGCTCAGTGACTCACACCTGTAATCCCAGCACTTTGGGAGGCTGAGGCGGGTGAATCATGAGGTCCGGAGTTCGAGACCACCCTGAACCCTGTCTCTACTAAAAATGCAAAAAAAGATTAGCTGGGCATAATGGCATTTGCCTGTAATCCCCGCTACTCAGGAGGCTGAGGCAAGAAAATCGTTTGAACCTGCGAGGCAGAGGTTGCATTGAGCCAAGATCGCACCACTGCACTTCAGCCTGGGTGACAGAGTGAGATTCCATCTCAAAAAAAAAAAAAAATCTTACGAATTTAGGTCAGGTGCAGTGGCTCATTCCTGTAATCCCGGCAGGTTGGGAGGTAGAGGCGGGCGAATCACTTGAGATCAGGAGTTTGAGACTCAACTCACCAACATGGTGGAACCCCAGTCTCTACAAAAAACACAAAAATTGATCAGGCATGGTGGTAAGTGCCTGTAATACTAGCTATACTGTAATCCTAGGTAATATTATAATGATGTTCATCTTTGTCAGTGCAATCTAAGGATTTTTACTTTTTTTTTTGAGTTGAAGTCTCACTCTGTGACCCAGACTAGAGTGCAATGGTGGGATCTCAGCTTACCACAACCTCCACCTTCTGGGTTTAAGCAATTCTCCTGCCTCAGCCTCCCAAGTAGCTGGATTACAGGTGTGCACTATCACATCTGGCTAATTTTTATATTTTTATGTATAGATGGTTTCACCATGTTTGTCAGGCTTCTCTTGAACCCTTGACTTCGTAATCTGCCCAACTCAGTCTTGCAAAGTGCTGGGATTACACATGTGAGCCACCAAGCCCAGCTGCAAAGAACAGATTTAATACAAAGCTTTTCATTTTCTCATTGCATTTTGTAGAAAATACGAACAGCAATCCTGAGTGTATAGAATCTCTACAGACAATAAAGTACCCAAAAATATTAAAAATAAAACAAAACAATGTTGAGGGCAGTACAGTTCCTAATTTCAAAACACATTAGAAAGCTAGAGAATTAAAACAATTTGATATGAGTATAAAGGTGAAATAGTAGACTAATAAAATAGAATGGGCCGGACGTGGTGGCTCATGCCTGTAATCCCCGCACTTTGGGAGGCTAAGGAGTGTAGATCATGAGGTCAGCAGCTCAAGACAAGCCTGACCAACACAGTGAATCCTTTTCCCTCCTAAAAATATACAAATTAGCCAGGCATGGTGGCAGGTGCTTGTAATCCCAGCTACTCAGGAGGTTGAGGCAGAAGAATTGCTTGAACCCAGGAGGTGAAGATTGCTGTGAACTGAGAGCCCTCCACTGCACTCCTGCCTGGGTGACAGAGACTGCATCTCAAAAAAAAAAAAAAATAATAATAATAATAATAATAATAAATGCAACAGGACGCAGCACACATATATTTTGTGGCCTCCCAAAATTGGGGGACTAGATATAAACCACCACCATCACTAGCCATGAAAAGTACACTTATAAACAGATTTAAGATGGTAAATTGTATTCATTTAGACAAGATAAAGCAATCATTAAAAATCAGCTAAAAAAACATAAATACAAAATGAGCCATACACACATATATAATCAGATTGTAATAGATGTATGGTTGATTTATCTCTTAATAAAATCACACAACTACGTATGGGTATACACAGAATTGCAAATTGTCTAAAATTGTAAAACCAAAAAACACAACGAAGTATGTTTAAAAACCTACACTGAGAAAACACGCTAATATGGAACTGCAAAACAATAGGTTCACTCATAAACTCTGGTATGCAACAGTGATGAAGCGTTAAGAAAGAATTTGTGTGGATAACTACAATAGTTTACTGTAACTATTAACTAATTGAAGATGAATATTTTGAATCATTGGCATCCACTGTAACGCAGTAAAGTTTCATATAAAATGCAGTGTAATCCTAAACAGAGGATTCGAATGCCAAGCTTGTGAAAAATAAGCATTTAAGTGAGATAATTTTTAAGTTTTAAACATATGCTATTTTTACACAAAATAAAACATCTGTAATCTAACTTTAGAAGCAAAGAATACTCTTAAATTGCTAAATGAAAAAAATATATAGAGATTTTGCAGAATACTGTCAGAGCCTCTGATACATTAAACAAATATTTGGTAATGATTTATGTTCTATTTTAGATATAAACTGACAAAAATGAGTGAAAATCTTATCATCTTTATTTAGCTGCCTACATTTACTTTCCACCTGCCTACTAATTATCTAATTCACTTCAGGAATAACATGTAAATTCTAGTATATTGTCATAAATGTCTAAATCTAAAATGACAGAAAAAATCAAAATAGAAAATAGAAAGTAGAAATGTACAGGGAGAGTGACATCACCAAGATGGGAAAATAAAAGGTTCCCTATTTGCCTATTTTCTGACAGCAAGAAAATTCATCAGCCATCCCTAACAAAAATCCCTTTATGAGAGACACAGGAATCATGGCTCAAACCTGTAATGACAGCTCCATGGTACATTGAGTCACAGAACTGCTTCAGGCTAGGATTTCAAGACCAGCCCGTGTTATGTAGAAAGACCTCATCTCCAAAATAAGTACCATTAAAAGAGCTTTAAAATCCAGGGAGGAAGTTGTATAACTCTGCTAATACCCAAGATGGAGAAACATTCTTTTCAGAATACAGGCTTTGATTCAGGTGGCAAAAATCCTGTTCTTGACTATAGACCAGAAAATGTCCCACTGAACTTGGTTCCACTGAGAATTCTGAACTTACCCTGTAATCATCCCAAATTCCTCCCAGCCACAGTCTGGGAAAGATCCCACCCTTCCAGAGGCCTGGAAGAAGACACCCATTTATAGCCATGCTGTCGGGGCTATAGACGTTGGCCCTCATTGTGGTCCATGAAGCAGTTTCATGACTCAGTTTCAGCTCCCTGAGCCATAGCGCATGGCAAGCTCTTCCTATGTAGAAACCCACAGTGACCTTGGGAAATTTTCTCTGGTACTCAGTGAAAGCCAAACTCATCTACATCTTAATATAAAGCCTCCAATATGAAGACTCAAGTGCAGAAACCTGACCTGCAGTCTGCCAAACAAAGCAAAGTCCTGAAGAATATTCAGTCTGCCCAAAAATCATATGGAATTATAACTACCCAGTCCCCTTATAACAAGCCAACTAAAGATGGACCCTAATGCAGACCCAGCAGCCTTTGTAACCACACTAAAACCACTCTTCACTACAAAGCCATAGGGCATCTCATCACCCTGGGGCTCAACACAAGATCTTTACCTTCTGAAACCAGTTTATAGAAAGTTGAAGAGGTTTTCACTCCTTCAAATTCACAGACACCAATGCAAAAGTATATTGTGCCTATTCTCAATGCTACTATCTGAACATAGCATTGGAAGTGTGTGCAATAAAAATTAGTCAGAAAATATTCTAGGTTATTGAAATTAAAGACAAATAATTAAAAAGTTGCTTTTTGCAGATCATTTGATCTTATATAAAAATAAACATTACATTAAAACTTAAAGTAATAATTACACTCATTCAATTAACAAAATAGAGATTAACATACAAGTATAAGTTATGGCTCCATACACTTTAAACAATCTGATAAGAGAAAGGAAGCAATCTTACTTACAATAGCACTAAAATAATACATTTCGAAGAACAAATATAACCAAGGAGTTTAAATATCTTACAAATAAAAGATATATCAACTAAAAAAATAACAAAAATAAATATAAAAACATTTCATGTCTACTGGTTGAAAGACTATTGTTAAAGTGCCATATTATCTACAGTGATTTTTAGATTTAATAAACTCTTTCAAAATTTCAATATTTTCTACAGTAATAGAAAATGTAATTCTAAAGTTCACTTAAAATTACAATGTTGAATAGCCAAAGCAATCTTGAAAAACAACAAAGTAGAACATCATAATTTAAAATTTCAAAGTATACTTCAAGCCTATAAAAGAAAAAGCCAGAAAAATTAGCAATACAAAAATAATAGAGTCTGGGCTCAGTAGTTCATGCCTGTAATCCCAGCAATTTGGGAGGCCGAGGTGGGGGGTGAATCACTTGACACTGAGAATCTGAGACTAACCTGGCCAACATGAAGAAACCCTGTCTCTACTAAAAGTATAAAAGTTAGCCTGGCATGGTGGTGGGCACCTGTAATCCCAGCTATCCGGGAGCCTGAGGCAGCAGAATCACTTGAACCCAGAAGGTGGAGGTTGGGGTGAGCTGAGATCGTACCATTCCACTCCGGCATGGGTGACAAGAGCAAAACTCCATCTCAAAAAAGTAATAATAAAAATAACAGAAGAGAAACCACTACTCTCACACATTTTAGACATGTAAAAAGAGAGTTTTAAAAAACAGTTTAACATATAAAATTTCTCCAAATTATGCACATATCTGATTTTCAAAAACAATGAAAGAGCGATCAGATTTTGCAGTCTCTTATGTGCCATGAAGAGGACTTTGGTTGTCACTTTAAAAGTAAAGAAAGATCACTGAAAAAAAGGAAAATCTTTAGAGATTTTAAATGATAAGATAAGACAGAAGATGTTTCCATGGGCCATCTGTTGTACTCACTTTCACTTTCACCTACCTGGGAGTTTGGCTTCAAACTCATGTCTCTTCACATTCCAAGGTTCTTTTCCTTGCTCCAGACAGGTGATCAGGTCTGGCTTAGAGGCAGCAATACCTGTTTTATTAAAAATTACATGAATCTTGCACATATTCTCCAATTACCAACTTAATAGTGTGCTCAGTAAAAAGAATATAATAAAGTATTTTAGTAAAATAATTCTAAAATACTAATTTATAACAAAATATTTTAAAACATGCTTTAATTTTGTAAGTTTGTAATTTCACTACCTGGTACTACTAAATCAAAGAGTAGTGGCAATCAGATTTTAAGATGTAATAAACAGAATGTTACACCACTAAATTTCTAAACTTGATGCTAATTTAGAGTGAAGGACACAGATCAGCTCAGGAATGTGGAAAGTTCAGGTCAAAATTAAACATCTTAAAATTCCTTTTTACTAGACAAATCTTCGCTTTTTTTAAAAAAACAGATCTGAATGCAAGGATTTCTAAAATTTATTCTACAAAAAAGAAAAAATGAATGAACAAACAAAAGCAAGAAAGAAAACTTATAGAATATATTATCAAATTGTGTATTGAAGTTATGCTCACCCAGGAAGACCAGGTTTCCGTAATTCTCTAACATCACATTACTATATAAATTCCGCTGTGCAGTGTCCAGGCATTGCCACTCCTTCCGAGAGAATTCTATAGCCACATCCCTAAATGTCAACACTCCCTGAAAAATACACACATACATATTAAACAAATGGAAAATAAGCAGAATTTTTAATTTGACTTAAGGTAAAACAAAAATAAAAATAGCTGCTTCTTACTTACAAGAGTGACTGATAATATCTAATCAATAACTCTCAACACAGAAGTATTCTCTAACTAATTCTCTAACTGTGAGAAAAGAAAATGGCATAAGGTCTACAACATCAACATACAGATGGTACTTTTCTGTTTAATGAGGTAGGAAACTGAGGGCATAAACACTTACATGTACATTTTTGAATGCTACATTTACATCATCAAGAATGCACTGTGTAAATTTTTCAGATGGAAAAGACATACTGAGTTAGAAAGTACTGCTGAAATTTTAATGTGTGCAATTAACTGGAGATATTAATGCAAATTATTTTTTTCAGAGAATCTGGAATACAATCTGAGTTTCTGAATCTATAACAAGCTCACCACTAATGCCAATGTTTTAGGCCAAAGAAAACTATTTTGTCAAATATCCAGTAAGTAAATGAGCCTGTGTGTTTTTCAGTTTTTCTAGCCTGTAAACAAAGATGAGAGGTTTCATTTTCCAAAGATAGATAAATGCAAAGAAAACCCAAGAAATGGCAGCTACAAGATTAAAAGTGATTGTTTATCCACATCAGCTGCATTAAGATATTTAATAATGAAGAGAAAAATAATTAACTCTATAGAGAAAAAAATTTGTCACAAAGCTTATTAACAAAGTGGGTTATTAACATTAACTTCATGACATTTCTATGATGGGCTTAGGTACACAGAAGGACAAAGCATCACTGACCCCTCAAAAGTAACTTATATTGTGAATTTAATCATAAACAAACAATGGATTTACCAGGAGTCGGGGCTCATGACTTTAAGCCGAGCACTTTTGGAGGCTGAGGCAAGCAAATCACAACGTCAAGGGATCAAGACCACCCTGGCCAACATGGTAAAACCCCACCTTAACTAAAAATAAAAAAATTCACAAGCATTCCTATGACCCAACAATTAACAGAGAGCCAAATCATACATAAACTTCACAACTGCTACAAAAAGAATAGAATACCTAAAAATATAGCTAACAAGGAATGGAAAGGACCTCTTCAAGGAGAACTACAAACCACTGCTAAACTCAGAGAGCGCACAATCAAATGAAAGAACGTTCCTTTTTTTTTTTTTTGAGACGGAGTTTCGCTCTTGTTACCCAGCCTGGAGTGCAATGGCGCGATCTCAGTTCACCGCAACCTCCGCCTCCTGGGTTTCTGGGATTACAGGCACATGCCACCATGCCCAGCTAATTTTTTGTATTTTTAGTAGAGACGGGGTTTCACCATGTTGACCAGGATGGTCTCGATCTCTTGATCTCATGATCCACCCACCTCGGCCTCCCAAAGTGCTGGGATTACAGGCTTGAGCCACCATGCCCGGCCGTTAGAACATTCCATTTTTATGGGGAGAAAGAACATGAGGCCGGGTGTGGAGGCTCATGTCTGTAATTCCAGCATTTTTGGAGGCTGAAGTGAGTGGATCACCTACGGTCAGGAGTTTGAGACCAACCTGATCAACATGGAGAAACCCTGACCAACATGGAGAAATCCTGAATCTACTAAAAATACAAATTTAGCTGGATATGGTGGTGCATGCCAATAATCCCAGCTACTTGACAGGCTGAGGTAGAATAACTGCTTGAACTGCTAGAATCCAGGAGGCAGAGGTTGCGGTGAGCTGAGATCATGTCATTGCACTCCAGCCTGAGCAATACCATTGCAAGAAAAGAAAAGAAGAAGGAAGAATGAACATAATGAAAATGGCCATACTGCCCAAAGTAATTTATGGCTTTGATGGTATTCCCATCAAATTACCATTGACATTCTTCACAGAATTAGAAAAAAAAACTACTTTAAATTTTATATGGAACCAAAAATGAGCCTGTATACCCAAGACAATCCTAAGCAAGAAGAACAAAGATGAAAGCATCAGCCTACATGACTTCAAGCTATACTACAATGGTACAGGTACCAAAACAGCATGGTACTGGTATAAAAACAAACACACGTACCAATAAAACAAAAAAGAGACCTCAGAAATAACCCACACATCTGTAACTATCTGATATTCAACAAACCTGACAAAAACAAGCAATGGAAAAAGGATTCTCTACTCAATAAATAGTCCTGAGGAAAATTACTAGCCATATGCGGTAAATTAAAACTCAACCTCTCAGTTATATCTTCTACAAAAATTTACTCAAGATGAATTAAAGACTCAAATGTAAAACCCAAAACCATAAAAATTCTGTAAGAAAACCTGGGAGGCCGAGCACGGTGGTTAATGCCTGTAATCTCAGCACTTAAGGAGGCCAAGGTGGAAAAATCACCTGAGGTTGGGAATTTGAGACCAGCCTGACCAACATGGAGAAACCTTGTCCCTACTAAAAATATAAAAAATTAGCCAGGTGTGTGGTGGCATGTGCCTGTAATCCCAATTACTTGAGAGGATGAGACAGGAGAATTGTTTGAACCTGAAAGACAGAGGTTGTGATGAGCCAATATTAGTCATTGCATTCCAGCCTGGGCAACAAGAGCAAAACTCCGTCTCAACAAAAAAAAAAAAAAGTAAACTTAAGAAATACCATTTAGGACATAGGCATCCACAAAGACTTCATGACAAAAACATAAAAAGCAATTGCAACAAAAGCCAAAATTGACAAATTAATTAAACTAAAGAGCTCCTGCACAAAAAAAGCCATCATCAGAGCAAAAAGGCAACCTACAAGATGGGAGAAAATTTTTGCAATGTACTCATCTGATAAAGGTCCGATATTCAGAAGAATCTTTTAAAATTTTACAAGAAATAGACAAACAATCTCATCAAAAAGTGGGAAAAAGATGAACTGACACTTCTCAGAAGACATTTATGCAGCCAACAATCATATGAAAAGTAGCTCAACATCACTGATCATTAGACAAATACCAATTAAAACCACACTGAGATATCATCTCACACCCGTCAGAATGGTGATTATTAAAACATCAGAAACAATAAATACTGGTGAGGCTGGGCAGAAATAGGAATGCTTTTACACTGCTGGTAAAAATGTACATTAGTTCAACCATCATGGAACACAATGTGGTGATTCCTCAAGGATCTAGAACCAGAAACATATTTTGACCCAGCAATCCCATTAATGGGAATATACTCAAAGGAATACAAACCATCTACTATAAAGACACATGGACATGTATGTAATAGTTTATTGTAGCACTTTTACAATAGCAAAGAAATGGAACCAACCCAAAGGCACATCAAGAAGACTGGATAATAAAATGCGGTACATATACACCACGGCATATAATGCAGCCATAAAAAGAAATAAGATTATGTCCTTTGCAGGAACATGAATTAAACTTGCAGTCATCATCCTCAGCAAACTAACACAGTAACAGTAAACCAAAAACCTCATCTTTTCACTCACAAGTGGGAGTCGAACAATGAGAACACATAGACACAGGGAGACAAACACACACCAGGGCCTGTTGTAAAGTGGGGGCAAAGGGAGGGCACCTAAAGGATGGGTCAATACATGCAGCAAGCCACCATGCAAACCTACGTAATAAACCTGCACATTCTCCACATGTATCCTGGAGCTTAAAAATAAAGTAAGTATTCAATATTTCATCATTGCTGGGCAGGTCGCTCACTCTGTAATTCCAGCAGTTTTGGGTTCTGAAGTAGGTGGATCACCTGAGGTGAAGAGTTCCAGATCAGCCTGATCAACATGGAGAAACCCTGTCTCCACTAAAACTGTAAAAACTAGCCAGATGTGGTAGCCTGTGATTCCGGTTGCTTGGGAGGCTGAGGCAGCAGAATCACTTGAATTCTAGACATGAGGTTAGCAGTGAGCTGAGATCATGCCATTGCACTCCAGCCTGGGCAACAAGAGCAAAACTCTATCGAAAAGAAAATGAGAAAGCCAGTTTTTTCTTGTTCTCCATCTCTAGGATTTCTTCTCAGATAAGATTCTCTGGACAAATTACACCTGCATCTTGAGAATATGATTTGAATGGTGTCAGCACCACATGTTTACCTGCTGCCACCACACCCATGGGCGGAAGAATCAAGACAGAAATACTACAGCTATTTCTGTACTTTGTAACAGAAAAGATTCAGGAACAATAAGCTGCTCCACAGGCAAAAAAATATATAAGTTTTTCCTTTCCTGTTCTCAGTTGCCCTCCCATGCCAACAATTTCTCCTATGCTAAAGAAAATATAAGCTACATTGCTGTCCCTATGGAACCCGATGAAAAGGGGCTCTAGGACCCCCCTTTAGTGAACAGGTGAAACTTAACTCTCACAAATATATCTTGACCCCTTATATTTGATTCTGGTCACAACTTACAGTCACATGAGACATTTGATTTAAAAAGCATGGGCTGGGCATGGTGGCTCACGCCTGTATTCCAAGTACTTTGGAGGCCAAGGCAGGTGGAACACCTGAGGTCGGGAGTTCAAGACCAGGTTAACCAACATGGTGAAACCCCATCTTAAAAAAAAAAAAATGGCCAGGTGCGGTGGCGGTGGCTCAGGCCTGTAATGTAATCCCAGCACTTTTGGAGGCTGAGGTGGGTGGATCATGAGGTCAAGAGATTGAGACCATCCTGGTCAATATGGTGAAACCCCATCTCTACTAAAAATACAAAAAATTAGCTGGGCATGGTGGTACGTGCCTGTAATTCCAGCTACTCAGGAGGCTGAACCAAGAGAATTGCCTGAACCCAGGAGGCGGAGGTTGCAGTGAGCCGAGATCGCGCCATTGCACTCCAGCCTGGATAACAAGAGCAAAACTCCACCTCAAAAAAAAAAAAAAAACAGCACCCCAGTACATTAATCAAAATGTATGACAGGAAGGTTACCAGTAAAGAGATTTTTGCAAATTAGTCATGTGATTCTAATTAGCAACCTAAACTTAGAACCACTTAACTAAGCACTATCTCTCAAGCTTTAATAAGCCTACAATTACTTGGTAATTTTGGTCCCACTCTATGTAGCGTGACTCTACAGGTTTGGAAAGAGCCAATAAATGAGTGTTGTCATTAAGTCCCCTGCCATTGCTAGGTTGCTCCCCCAGGCTCATTATTAGCATTAGTTAGAGAAAGCAGGCCCAGCACAGTCTCTTATACTTTGTACCATTATTACAACACAAATACTTCTGGCACAAAGGAAGAAAACCAATATCCATCTTAAAGTATCATAATCTTTGCTGGCTTTTTAAAGTTTACAGGGAAAACAAGAAGTGGCAACAACTAAGTCTGCATTTATTTACTTATTTATCGAGACAAAATCGTGCCGTTACCCAGGCTGGAGTGCAGTGGTGAGATCTACACTTACTTCAACTTCCGCTTTTGAGGTTCAAGTGATTCACCTGCCTCAGCCTCCCAAGTAGCAGGGACTACAGTTCTGTGCCACCATGACTGGCTATTTTTTTTTCTTTGTATTTTTAGTAGATATGTTGGCCAGAGTGGTCTCAAACTCTTGACCTCAAATAATCAGCCCACCTCAGCATCCCAAAGCACTGGGATTACTTGTGTGAACCACCATGCTGGGCCTTAAATCTGTATTTAGAAAACAACATAGACACATGTACTAATAAAATGTTTATTAAGCAGATACTATGTGCTCAAGATGATTTTACAGAGCACTTTAACAACACATTATGGGACTTAATTCTAATAACAGCCTATGCACTGATTCTAAGGCCTCAATAACTCTAGATATTTAGAAAAAAACTCAGAATATTTATTTCTTCCCATTTCTCTGTCATGGATTTTATTTAAAATGTATAAAATAAAATCTAAATACAGACAAATGGGAGTCATACAGAAATAAAGAGTTTAATGTAATTTACAAAAATGTATATTGTATTTATATTTACTTTTTGTGCCTTGTGGAGAAACGACTAGATCTGCAGGAACAGAAAACAAGTTGCTAAATAGAACATCTCTGCAAATACTAATTTTAAAGTTAAAAATTTGAAATTAAGACACTAAAATACATACTTAACATTTCTGATTTATCTGGTTTTTTTTTTTTTTTTTAGAAAATTGTGAGCATGAGCTCTATAAGTAGAACAAGATTCATCACTCAAAACTCTGATGCCCACTCACACAGGGCTGAGAATGCTTGTCCAACCACCAGACTGGAAAACTTCATAACTCATGGGACATTCAAATACAAAAAAAGAGTCTTGTCTCAATAGTGGGAAAGAATTAGCCTTAGACTGAACATTGCCCTAGTGCCCTCTACAAAGGACAGAGAAAGTGTAATTCCCAACTTCAAGACCAGCAACATTCATGCATCAGAGAAGACAGAGATCCAGGTAAAAGCAACAGCAGACCAGCATAATGATTTAATGAAAATGGAACGACATGAGCAGCCAGCCACTGAGCCCTGCACCATTGGGAACTCTCAAAACAGATTCTATAAAATTATATACAGTTCTCTCAATCCACCCAAGATGGCTGATCACTAGCAGCTCAGGATTGTAGCTCCCAGTGAAAGCGCAGAGAAAAAGAGGACGCCACACTTTCAGACGAACTTTTGCTGCTCACGGATCAGGAGATTCCCAGGGGAGGAGACCCACAGGTCACCAGCGCAACTCTTGTGGCCAGCACGGCGGTTTGGCCGGTGCTTCGGCACAGTGGTTCTTTGTGCAGAGTACAGGAGACTGGTTTCCCTTTTGGCTGACATTTGGAGCTCCAGGAAGGCAGGGTCGCCTATTCAGCTGATTGAAGGACAAACCCAGTGAAGGAAGCCAGACCAGATTCCTGGGCAGAAAAGCACCATCAATCTTAACACCGCTGCTTTAGCTGGCACAGTGGGATGCTCAGACTTGGGCGCTGGGAATCAATAAATTGGACATCCACTCAGAAACCTAATTAGAAAGTCAGTAATTACAAAGACGACAGATGGATAAATTTATAATGAAAGGAAGAAACCAGCCTAAAAAGGCGAAGAATACCCAAAATTAGAACACCTCTCCCTCCACAGGGGATCACAATTCCTCATCAGCAACGGAACAAGGCCTGATGGAGAATGACTGTGTTCCATTAACAGAAGTAGGTTTCAGAAGGTGGATGACAAGAAACTTCTGGGAGTTAAAAGAACTTGTTCTAACTCAATGCAAGGAAACTAAGAACTTTGAAAAAGGTTTGACAAAATGCTAACGAGAATAGACAATATAGAGAGAAATATAAGTGAATTAACGGAGTGGAAAAACAACATGAGAACTTCACAAAGTATGCACAAGTTTTAACAGCTGAATTAATCAAGCAGAAGAAATGCTATCAGAGGTCAAAGACCAACTTAATGAAATAAAATGAGGAGAGAAGAATAAAGAAAAAAGGATAAAAAGGAATGAGCAAAGTCTCCAAGAAATATGGGACTATGTGAAAAGACCTAATCTACATTTGATAGGTGTACTGAATGCAACGAAGAGAATGAATCCAAGCTGGAAAATACTCTTCAGGATATTATTCAGGAAAACTTTTCCAACCTAGCAAGGCAGGACAATATTCAACTCCAGGTAATACAGAGAACACCACAAAAATATTCCTCAAGAAGAGCAACCGGAAGGCACACAATCGTTAAAATCACCAGGGTTAAAATGAAGGAGAAAATACTAAGGGCAGCCAGAGAGAAAGGTCAGGTTACCCACAAAGGAAAGCCCATCAGACTCACAGCAGATCTCTCAGCAGAAACCCTACAAGCCAGAAGAGAGTAGGGACCAATATTCAACATCCTTACAGAAAAGAACTTTCAACCCAGAATTCATATCCAGCCAAACTAAGCTTCACAAGCAAAGAAAAAATAAAATCTTTTATGAACAAGCAAGTACTCAGAGATTTCATCACCACCAGGCCTGCTTTACAAGAGTTTCTGAAAGAAGCATTACACATAGACAGGAATCAACCAGTATTAGCCTTTCCAAAAATATACCAAAAATTAAAGAGCATCAACATAATGAACAATTTACATCAACTAATCAGCAAAACAGCCAGCTAACATCAAATGGCAGTAATCCTAAATTTAAATCGACTAAATCCCCCAATCAAAAGACACAGCCAAAACCCATCGGTATGCCACATCCAGACCCATCTCACATGCAAGGATACACAAAGACTCAAAACAAAGGGATGGAGAAAGATTTACCAACCAAATGGAGAGCAAAAATAAACAAATAAATAAAAAGCAGGAGTTGCAATTCTCACCTGTGATAAAATAGATTTTAAAGCAGCAAAGATCAAAAGAGGCAAAGAAGGTCATTACATAATGGTAAAGGATCAATGCAACAAGAAGAGCTAATGATCCTAAATATATAAGCACCCAATACAGGAACACCCAGATACATAAGACTTATAAAGAGACTTAGACTTTCACACAATAATAGTGGGAGACTTCAACATCAATATTAGATAGATCAACGAGACAAAAAATTAATAAGGATATCCAGAACTTGAACTCAGATCTGGAACAAGTAAACATAATAAATACTTATAGAACTCTCCACTTTAAATACACAAAATATACACTCTTATCAGTACCACATCACACCTACTCACAGGTTTAAATGAAATATTGGTTGGCTATTTGTTTGTTATTTTCCTCTCATTTTTTTTTCCTGTCTCCATTATTAAGCACAATTATTGGCATAAAAGAGGTTTTTAATACCCATTTTTAGACTGCATTCTAGCCTGGGCAATAAAGCAATACTCCTGTTCTCTCTCCCTTTTCCTCTTCCTCTCCTTTTCCTTTTTTTTCTTTCTCTCTTTTTCTCAAAAAGAAGAAAATTATATACAATTCCTTTTTTTTTTTCAAGCCAAACTGTATCCAGCTTTATTAAAGATACTTTCCATGAACAGTCATGGTATTTCAGGCCGGACATGGGCAGACAATCATTAGCAGTATACAACAACTTTCAAACTCCATTCTTTGATGGACTACCAAAGATCAGAAGCCACTATAAAACCCAATTAAGTCTTCATCTGATGCTCTGAACAGGGAAAGTTTAGAGTGAGGGTTGACATTTCACATTTAGCATGTTGTTTTACTTTTCACCAGCCAACCCTGACTTTCAGGAAGTGAAATGAAAATGGCAGAATTTATCTGAAGATCCACTCTAGAAATGGAATCAATGCTCTTTTGACAGGTGCCATCTCAGTGGCATCACTGGCAAGTCCAGATTGCCTGACACGCTGGTAGCCAATGACTGGGGGTCAGGTCCTAACAGATGTCTGGGCTTAAGGGAGTTAAGTCTATGCTGAAAGACGGAAAGGGAGAAGAGGACATAAAAGTGAATTTGTTTTTTCCATACCACAAGGCTTTTGTGTGCCAAGGTGGCCATGTGTGTCAAAGTCAGGAAATCACTCCTCCTGGGAGCCAAGAGGAAGTCTCTCAAAACTAGAAGGGAAAGTCGTTTCCCCACATCAATCCAGCGCTGGAGACATTCTATTAGTGACATATGCCCCTTCCCCGAAAACAACAATGAAGTGTTCTGTGTGCTAACAACATAGCTTGAAAAAGTAAAACAAAATCCTGCATTTTCATAAAACTTGATAAAAAATGGTATTTCAAACTGTACAGTCACCAGAAGTACAGTTATCAAAAATGCACACACTTCACTTGGCGTCTCCAGCACCTTCGGCTTTCTGTGCCAGGTCTGTTTTGGCATCTCCATTTTCTGCAGGGTTATTCCCTTCCTTGCCAGCATCAGCTTTTCCCTTTTTCCCTTTGGGTACCTTCTCTCCCTTCTTTGCAGGGGCCTTTTTAGGCTTGGGCTCTGGCTTTGGATGAGCAGGTTTAGCAGACAACCTCGCAGATCTTCTCTGTGGTTCGTCCTTCACCTTGGCTTTATCTCCTTTAGCATCCCCTTCAGCCTTTCTCTTGGGCATGGTGGCGACGGTGGCGGGACATAGGCACGTGGGCTTCGGTAGGTCCCGGGGTCGTTCTCGCCTCCTCTTCACACCGCTCAGAAAATTATATACAATTCTTTACAAAACATAAAATTTGATAGGGCTAATTTTCATAAAAGTAATAGAAACATCTCCCAATAATAATAAATAAGATATAGTAGCAGTGGTCTTAAAAGACTTAATCTTAACCACCTCTAAATTAATAAATTAACTCTTTTTATTCACTCTTCGCAATATATTAATGATATCTCCTTTCTGGTATGTAAAATATACTGAAGATCTTCTGCTCCCAATAATTGAAGTTGATGAAGAAGTTGAAAAGGTTTGTTCCCCAATCTTTTCATGTGAGTTGTAATTACAATTATATTGTTTTATTATTAACTATACAAATCTATCAAATATAAGCAAAAAAAATCTATTAATTCTTTAAAAACTCACTTTTAACGCTTTGGAGACATTCAGTAAAATGAGTTGCTAAAAATATTGTTAAGTTGGGTATGGAAGCAAAAAATGGTAAAAGTGGGGGCAGGGCAAGGCAAGAGAAAGGATTATAAAAGATCAAGAAAAATTCTGCAGTTAGGTAGTTTCCCAAGTGTCATTAAGTTTTCTTCCATGAAGACACCAAAACTGGAAATCTTAGTCAATGTAGTTTGGTTGTAGTTTCAGTCAAAATGACTGTATATGATGCAATAAACAAACCATGCTAAAAAGAAAAAAGAAAAAAAAAAGAAAAACTCTGATCCTTTCTATTCAGTACTATGAGGTGAGAATCAAAGGTAGGGCCAGACCGAAATAAGGCCTCCAAAAAGGGTCAATCTAAAAACGGCTGGGGCAGAGAGTAAACCCTATGTACAATCTGGTTCTCTATGCTACTCGGTGTGTTTCCAGTTCTGTTTTTTCTAAGCTTACCAAGGAGAATCCTAAATTATAGAGGTTGTATAATTTTAATTTTTTTAACCACCTTTTCATCAATTATCGTATTATATATTAATAAGCAATTAAAATAAATCACTTTAGGTTTTATAGAATAATTTTATTAGAAGATAAATACATATTCTTAAGTTAAAAAAAAAACAAATAATAGCTTGAGTGTGGTGGCTCACGCTCATAATCCCAGTACTTGGGGAGGTCAAGGCAGGCCTTGCACATCAGCCTGGCCAAAATGGAGAAAATTGGTCTTTACTAAAAATACAAAAATCAGCCAGATGTGGTGCCCTACACCTGTAATCCCAGCTACTGAAGAGGCTGAGGTAGGAGAATCTCATGAACTCAGAAAGCGAAGGCTGCAGTGAGCTGAGATCAAGCCACTGCACTCTAGCCTGGGCAACAAGGTGAGGCTCCATACCCAAACACCACAGAAAAGAAAGAAAACCAAATAGTAACAACTCTTCTGTTGATAAATACCCCTTCAGGTGAAAACATCACAAGTCACAACAATATAAAGAAAGTGAGGGTCAGGTGCTGTGGCTCACATCTGTAATCCTAGAACTTTGGGAGGCTGAGGCAGGCAGATTACCTGAGGTTAAGAGTTTGAGATCAGTCTGACCATGGAGAAACCATGTCTCTACTAACATAAAAATACAAAATTGGCCAGGGATGGTTGCACATGCCTCTAATTCCAGCTACTCAGGAGGGTGGGGCTGGAGAATCACTTGAACTTGCAGGGGGAGGGGGGCAGAGGTCACAGTAAGTCAACACTGGTCACAGTAAGTGCCAACAATGGTCACAGTAAGTGCCATTGCTCTCCAGCCTGGGCCACAAAAAAAAAACTCTCTCTCAAAAAAATTAAAAGTTAAAGAAAAGTGGTCCAAAACAAGCTTAACTGTTTTTGCACACATCTATTTATTGTACTCACCACATAATGCATAATTCAATCTTTTATCCAGTTGCTACTATAGACTAAAAGTTCCTGGATTGTAGGGACCGTGTCTGCTTTATCTATTTTTCTAATGACTGTATGAAATACAAGCAACTGGTTTATGTGCCTGAGTCTCCAGATCTCCTCATTGCTTTTCACTCAAGTACAAGGAAACTGGAGAAAGTCTCATTTGAGCACCAGCCAAAAACATCTCTTGAATGAGGTGAAGAACAAACACAGAATGAGTCATTTCTCTTAGACTGAGACAGAAGTAGAATTAACCACTCGTCAGCCTAATAAAATTCTGCTCTGGACATTCTCAAATAACTCAAAGATGCCTAGGTGATTGTGATAAGGTTCCCAGGGACCCTGTGCTGGTGGCCCAATGATAAGTCAGACAGGAGAGAGTCAGGCTCTTTCTTCTTCTTTTGTTTTCTTTTTTTTTTTTTTTTGATATGGGGTTTTGCCCTGCTGCCCAAGCTAGAGTGCAATGATGCAATATTGGCTCATTGCAACCTCTGCCTCTGAGGCTGAAGAGACTTTTCTGCCTCAGCCTTCTAAGTAGTGGGGACTACAGGTGCATGCCACTAAGGTGGGATAATTTTTATATTTTTAGAACAGATGGGGTTTTATCATGTTGGCCAGGTTCGTGAATTCCTGAGCTCAGGTGATGCACCCACTTCGACCTCCCAAACTTGAAATTACAGGTGTGAGCCACTGTACCCAGAAAATTTAGGCTGATTCTAAATAAAAAATAAACCTGCCCTGGTGGACCTCCACAACTGGGATATCTGTCATGATCAACTAGCTCTTGGGTAACAGGAAGGACAAGAATACGCTACTCCAGCATCACATTTTTGTGCATAGGTATAGTTGTGGTTATGGCTCTGGATACTTCATAGTCTTGATCTTTCACTCCTAAGATGGTTCTTTACAGATTCTACCATAAGATTCTCTTTACCCTCAAAGCCTCTCACAGAACTGGTCACTGATCAAGACCTGAAAAGCTCAAAGAGCCACACTCTCAAAGGGGGGTTTAAGATGCCTGTGTTGACATCTTGCAATGTAGAAAATGCCTCCTCTTAGTTTTCTGTATATTTTCTATCCAAAGTCTACCTTGTCTTATAAATCCCAGGCAGAGGCCAAAACTTATGTGAAGATTCTAGGTGAAATTAACCTCACTCTCCATTTTTGGGTGTTACACCAAGTAAAGTACAATTGAAAGAGAGATGCCCTCACATCATATCCCTGGGTGACAGAGGAAGACTCTCTCTTAAAAAAACGAAAACAAAAACTGGATTTGCAAAACCAGAGAAAGAGACAACAGAGAAAACTGATAAAAAATTGTTTCTCACTAGGCACAGTGGCTCACACCTGTAATTATAAAAAATTGGGAGGCCAAGGTGGGTGGATCACAAGAAGTTAGGAGATTGAGACCAGCCTGGCCAAAATAGTAAAACCCCATTCCTATTAAAAATGCAAAAATTAGGGGGCTGGGGACAGAAAAAAGAAAAAAATACAAAAATTAGTCAGGTGTGGTGGCAGGTGCCTGTATTCCCACCTACTTGGGAGGCTGAGGCAAAAGAATTGCTTGAACCTAGGAGGCAGAGGCTGTAGTGAGCTGAGATGGCCACTGCACTCCAGCCTGGAAGGCAAAAGCAAAACTTCATCTTAAAAAAAGAAAAAGAAAAATAATAAAGATAGAAAAGGCCAGGTGTGGTGGCTCATGCTTGTTATTCCAGCACTTTCGGAGGACAAGGTGGGTAAATCATGAGGTCAGGAGTTTAAGACCAGCCTGGCCAAAATAGTGAAACACTATCTCTACTAATAATACAACAGAAATTAGCTGGATATGGTGGTGGGTACCTGGAATTCCAGCTACTCAGGAGGCTGAGGCAGGAGAACTACTTGAACTCAGGAAGTGTAGGTTGTATTGAGCCGAGATTGTGCCACTACACTCCAGACTGTATAAGAGAGCGAGACTCCACCTTAAAAACAAACAAACAAATAAACAAAAGTTGTTTCTCAAGCAGACTTTTTTCTTTTCTTTTGGTCATTACTTTATTATAAAAGACATTAAAATTATTTACATGATGAAAGATTTCAGAACTTCAGTAGAATGGACCGCACCATTTCAATAGTGATTTATTTCAGTCTACCTACTTTCTAAGAATGTCACCAACTCTAAATAGGAGATAATCCTTGTCACCTAGAAATACTTTGGTGCCTCCATTTTCTGGGAGAACTTTATCTTCATCTTTTATTCTAACTGGTTGAATCTCTCCACCCTTTCCCTTGGAACCTGGTCCAACAGGGACTACTGTTGCTTACAATACTTTTCCTTGTGATTTTTCTTAAAGCATAATGCTCTGTTGGTTAGTTTAGGCAGCACTCATTTTAAGTAATACTCAGTCAAAAAGTGAAAGAAACAGAAAGTCTTCTTCATTTAAAGAAGTAACTTTGATTATTTATTAGCTACACATCATTAAGGCTTAGGGAATGGGATATAGTGTCTTAGGTGACATTATTTAATTTATACCTACTTGTCACAGTAGTTGTGATAACCTGCTATTTGTCAGCTAGAACTAACTCTTTCTCAGACTAAAAGTTGTTCAGGCTTTATGTTAGCTTCTTGAGCCAGACAGACTCCATCTTAGCTTCTTCATTTTAGTTATTCTCTCACCATGAAGTATGTAACTACAGTATGTAGCTAGGGCAGGCTGACACTGGGCACCCAGGAAGGCCCTGGTAGATAAGAGGCAGAGTTAAGTGGTACCAGCAGAGCCTGGGAATGCAGGAGCATTAGGGTACCCAGAGCCTCCATTATCTATAAGTTGTATGTCTTTCATGACAGCTTTACCCCTCCTACCTGGCACTGTTCTATTTCTCAAATTTATTAGTTTATCTTTTAACCTTCACTTATTCAGCTTTTGTGAAAAATTTGCTTCAGCTGGGTTTTCCCTCCCTTTTAAAACTAAGGTATAAAAGACCACCTAACTTTTTCTTTGGGGCCAAGAGAATTTGGGCGTTAGCCACCTCTCAGTCACCAGCTAAATAAAGGACTCATAATTCAATCTCAGAATGTGGTCATTCCTTGACTCGCTTGGGTACAACATAGTGAACAGTTTCAAGAGATATAGTTGAAAGGGTGAGAAAAACATTACTGTCTTCTCTTAATGTCTCTCTGGGCTTGATCACTAAAAGGGCTCATATTTCTCAGATAAAAGTTTATTTCCCCAAATCTCAAGACCTCCATTTATCATTTAAGGTTGCAGGGTTAGGTTCAAATTACATGCAGTAGCAGCACATGCTACCTGCACATTTGAGCACTTGGCAAGAGGAGAAAAGGAAAGTGGAGGTTCTCGTGTCTATATGTCTACTCGATGCACTCATGTTACTCTAATTGTGTTTCTGTGAGCCATGAGCTCTCAATCAGTTTCAGGTTTTTTGATACAAGAGTCAATGACAGAAGTAAAATGACTGAATGCTCCCCTGTGAAGTTTGTAGTCATCTCATCCAGCCTCTCTAGAAGTCACTGTAGAAGACTATAGATACCAAACAGGCAGAGACACAATTCTGCCTACATATCCAGGAGACAGCATGCACTTTACAGTATAATTGTAACTTGACAAAAAGCTTAAAAGGGAAAGGCCCCTCTAGAATAAAGCTTGGTTGGAACCTTTTGTGTTTATATCATGTCTTCTAACTAAGTGTTTGGAAAATATAATTAAAAGAAATATGTTCTCCAGCCCCAGGAAAGCTTTACAATAATATGACTGTTAGAAAACATAACTGTAAGGCCAGCCACGGTGACTCACACCTGTAATCCCAGCACTTTAGGAGGCTGAGGTAGGCATATCACCTGACGTCAGGAGTTGGAGACCAGCCTGAGAAACGAAGAAACCCCATCTCTACTAAATATACAAAATTAGCCAGGCACAGAGACACATGGCTGTAATTCCAGCTACATGGGAGGTTTAAGCAGGAGAACTGCTTGAACCTGGGAGGCAGAGGTTGTGATGAGCCAAGATGGCACCATTGCATTTCATCCTGGGCAAAAAGGATAAAATTGTCAAAAAAGAAAAGAGAGCAATTGAGAAATAAAGTGAGAAAGAGAAAAAGAAAGAAATGAAAGACAGGAAGGAAGGAAGGAAGGAAGGGAGGGAGGGAGGGAGGGAGGGAGGGAGGCAGGGAGGGAGGGAGGGAGGGAGGGAGGGAACAAAACAAAACAAAACAAAAACTGTAGGCCAGGTGCAGTTGCTCACATCTGCAATTCTAGCACCTTGGGAGGCCGAGACCAACTGGTGAAATTCTGTCTCTACTATAAATACAAAAATTAGCTGGGCATGTTGGCACATTCCTGTAATACCAGCTACTCGGTAGGTTGAGGCAGAAGAATTGCTTGAACAGGATGCAGGAAGCAGAGGTTGATGTGAGCTGAGGTGGAGCCACAACACTTCATCATGGGCTACAGAGCAAGACTCCTTCTCAAAAAAGAGGCTGGGCACAGTGGCTCTCGCCTATAATTCCAGCACTTCGGGAGGCCAGGATAGACAAAGAATCTGAGGTCAGGAGTTTGAGACCAAACTGACCAACATGAAGAAACTGCATCTGCTAAAAGTAGCAAATTAGCCGGGTGTGGTGGTGCATGCCTCTAATCCCAGCTACTCAGGAGGCTGAGGCAGGAGAATCACTTGAACACAAGCGGTGGAGGCTGTAGTTAGACGAGACTGTGCCATTGCAGTCCTGCCTGGGCAACAAGCACAAAAAAGGCAGGAAGGGTGGAAAAAAGGAGGGGGGGGGAAGAAAGAAAAGAAGAAAGGAAGGAAAAAGACAAAGAAAACAAACTGATTACAAAATTAAATCTGACTGTAAACGGTATCACAGTCAATCTGCTTAAAAGACTGCAAAGACAGAAAGATGATCATCATAATTAGTCCACAAGTAGAAAAACATACAGAACCATGTCATACATAGTTCATCCTAAATTTACCTTGCAACTGGGGAGGCCATCCATGTATACTAATTAGTTACAGTTAATGACTGAATAAACTTTCCACATCTTCATGACTGAAGGTAGTTTTGCAACTAGAAGCCCGGTGCCTGCTGAAGGTAGGCTTTCACTTTTCTACAAAAATCGTTGATTAGGGTGAATGTTCCTTTCTATGTACATTTTAAAGCCATGGCTCTCTACTTCCTGAGCACTGGGATCTAGCACTCCTGCTTGCCCTCCCCTGGGGGTTAGTGTACTCTCTTGACTCCTACCATCTGCAACTGAGTCACATTCCACAACACAGAACCCACAGCTGGTAACTCATAACTTATGTGAACCCAAATTGCCACAACAGCACTGCAGTGTCACATCAGAGAGTAAAGTCTGAGCTGCAGGAGGACAGCCTGCAGGACTCCTGGGTAGAACTGCTCCTTCACAATAACGGAAATGGGAGCCGTGTCTCATCCTATGCTTCTGTTATTAATGATGGGAAAAATACTGCTGGATTTCAAGCAGTAGTCCAGGTAGAGATAGCTTCAAGAGTTCTCACTGTGACAGCCCACCTCATTCACAGACACAAAGGGAAACTAATAGGTCTCCTTAAAAAGATACCTAAAGCACTGGAGATAAAGACAGCTCTTGGCCAGGCACGGTGGCTCATGACTGTAATCCCAGAACTTTAGAAGGGTGAGGTGGGAGGATCACTTGAGGTCAGGAGTTCAACAGCAGCCTGGCCAACATGGTGAAACCCTGTCTCTATAAGAAATAACAAAATTAGCTGGGCATGGTGGTAGGTGTCTGTAGTTTTAGCTACTGAGAAAGCTGAGGTGGAAGAATCACTTAAGCCTGGGAGTCAGAGTTTGCAGGGAGCTGAGACTTTGCCACTACACTCCAGCCTGGGCAAAAACAGCTCTCATTCTGAGAAAGATTACACTGAGAAAAATAAAAGTTAAAAGCATCTGAAGAAAATTTCAGATTGACCAATTCAGCCAGAAAATATATCTCTATAAGAATATTGCTCTCTAACTGCTCAAAGTGCACGGCTACTATCAGCATTAGAAACATTAATGTGGCCGGGTGCGGTGGCTCACGCCTGTAATCCCAGCACTTCGGGAGGCCGAGGCAGGTGGATCACGAGGTAAAGAGATCAAGACCATCCTGGTCAACATGGTGAAACCCCATCTCTACTAAAAATACAAAAAATTAGCTGGGCATGGTGGCGTGTGCCTATAATCCCAGCTACTCAGGAGGCTGAGGCAGGAGAAATGCCTGAATCCAGGAGGCGGAGGTTGCGGTGAGCCAAGATCATGGTAACACAAGTGAAACTCTGTCTCAAAACAAAAATAATAATAATTAATGTGCTGGACACAGTGGCTCATGCCTGTAACCCCAACACATTGGAAGGACAAGGTAGGTGGATTACTGGAGGTCAGGACTTTGAGACCACTCTGGCCAACATGGTGAGAACCTGTCTCTATGAAAAATACAAAAAATAATTAGAAAGCCATGTGACAAGTACCTGTAATCCCAGCTACTCCAGAGGCTAAAACAGAAGAATCACCTGAACCTGGGAGGTGTAAATTGCACTGAGTTGAGTTTGAGCCACTATCCTTCAGACTTGGTGACAAACTGAGACTCTGTCTCAAAAAACAAACAAACAGAAAACATTAACATTAGGAAGAAAGGGGGCATATTCTCCGAAGAATTTCATATGGTTTCTCTTTCATGTCTGTTACTCTCGGGTCTAGCCATTGAATGGGAGATCTACATTGGAATCCACACCAACATTTTTTTGTTTGTTAAAAAAAAAATTGTGTTTGTATTGTATCATGAGGCATTGAAACATCAGAACAAATCAGTGTCTGGGTGATGAGGCAGCTGCTTTTCCTTTCCTGTCTTTGGGTTACTGAAGCAACTTGTTAGTATATAAAAAAAAAATTGTGGGGGCAAATTTTACATTACTTAAGTCTTTTCAAGGCATGTGCTTCCACCAGC